ATATACGCGGATCAAATTCAAAGTCCCGTTTGAGCTTTAACAGCCGCCGAATCGGTTCTGATTTCGAGGGGATTCGGATCTGGATTTGTGTTTCTTGAGCTGATTTGTTGAATTTCTCGATTTAATTTGAACTGTGTGATTTTGTTTTTCGGAGACAAAAAAAAAAAGAAGGAAAAATTTTCTGGGTTCTTTAAAAAACTCGAGATTTGAAATTTATTAAGATGGGTGAAGGAGGCGGAGGAGGCGAATTCCCGCCAAAAAAGGACGGTCTAGAAGAGTCTGCTTTTCCGGCGAAGAAGCCAGCGAGGCAACTCGACTTCACTTGTGGCGGCTCCGATCAACATTCACTCTCTAAAGCGGTGGCTGCTCCTACCGTCGTCTCTACGGCGGTTAAGGCCATCGTCACTCCTTCCTTTCCTTCACCGGCAGCGACGACGACGATACGGCCTCCTCCGACGGTGGGAATCGGTCAGGTACGACCGACGTTACCAGTGGTGACGACAAATCCGCCGTCACAATCACAAATTCTTAACGCGCCAATTAGGCTTCCGTAAGTTTTTTTATCTAATTGAGCTTTTTGCGTTTAGTCTAGTTTCCACAAGTGTTGGTTTTTGTGAAGAAAAATTCAAACTTTTGGTCTGTGGATTTGATGAAAATGGTTTTAAACCTTAAAACCTTTAGTTTAATGGTTTCTATCAAATTTTCACCAGAAATGTGTTATGAAATTACTTTTTTTTGCAGAAAGCCGGATTCTCCAAAATCTAGACCAAGGCCTATTGTGGAAGCTAGAGATGGAGCCCCTCAAAAGAAGAAGCAGTGTAACTGTAAACACTCACGCTGCTTGAAACTGTAAGTCTTCCCATTCATGTTTTAAGGGTTGGAATTTCAGATTAGTATGATTACTCGAGCTATTGCATGTTATTTTTGTTTCCTTTTCCTGCTCCATTCCTATGAAACTCAGAAGCTCCGTAATATCTTGTGGTTAATTGTGGATTTGTGCATTACAGTTTCTGATTTGGCTTTCCTTTTTATCCTTGATAAACTTACACTGTGCAAGATTTTGTCAGGTACTGTGAATGTTTTGCATCCGGAACGTATTGTGATGGCTGTAACTGTAACAATTGTTTCAACAATGTTGAAAATGAACCTGCAAGACGAGAAGCTGTGGAAGCAACTCTAGAGCGGAATCCAAATGCGTTCAGGCCTAAAATTGCTAGCAGTCCACATGGTGTGCGGGATAAAAGGGTATGCGGTTTAAACAAGATCGATATTACATTTTCAATTTTGGGAAGACTTTGATGAACTTTATCTAGATCGGAGGAGAGTGGTTTGAGCTTGTAAGTTATTGTGGGAAGCTTAAACTGTTGATCTGTCTTTGCAGGAGGAGATTGGTGAAGTTGTATTGTTAGGGAAACATAACAAAGGATGTCACTGTAAGAAATCAGGATGCCTTAAGAAGTATTGTGAGTGCTTTCAGGCAAACATTCTTTGTTCCGAGAACTGCAAATGCTTGGATTGCAGAAACTTTGAAGGAAGTGAAGAGAGACAAAATCTGTTTCATGGTGAACATGCCAACAACATGGCTTATCTCCAACAAGCAGCGAATGCAGCCATTACTGGAGCTGTTGGTTCCTCTGGCTTTGCTCCTTTTCCAGCACCTAAGAGAAGGAAAGGTCAAGAGATTTTGTTCAACCAAACAACCAAAGATTCATCAAACCATAGGATTGGCCCATTTCAGCAGGTTCGCAAATTACCATTTTAGTACATGTACGCTTTTTGGTATCCATTTATGGTACATAAAAGATCTTTCTTTTTCCCCCGGCCTGCTTAGTGAAATGTGATCTTGTTATTTGTATATAGGCAAATAGTGGAAGAACTAGTGGCCCAACTTCAGGCACATCTCCGTCACCTGTTTCTCGTGCTGGTGGAAATCCATCATCAGCCCCATCAAAGTTTGTATATAGGTGAAATTTCTGGTGTTCACAATTTATTAAGCTGATCCAAAGAGCTGCATAAAACTAACTTGTATGTTGTTGATTTTAAGGTCCCTATTAGCAGATATAATCCAACCGCAGGATGTGAAAGCGCTTTGCTCTGTTTTGGTCGCTGTAGCGGGGGAAGCAGCAAAGACATTAACAGGTGAAACTTTGAGTTAGATCTCTGTATTGATGAAGTTTTAGCCTTATATCTAATTTTCATTGGTCTAACTTTTGAAAATTTTCTCAGATCAAAGAAAGGAAACAGAAAATCGGGTGGCTGATAAAACAATAACATCTTCAGCTTCTTCTGCACAAGATCACTCCCATGGCAATAAAGTTACCGGCGATGTCGAGATGGTTGCAACTGATGGAAATCAAGCCGATAAGTCTGGACCAGATGATTCATATTCAGATGGCGCCGATGCCTCCAAAGGAAAACCGCTATCTCCAGCAACTTTGGCTTTAATGTGCGATGAACAAGACACTATCTTCATGGTAGCAGCAGCTTCACCTAATGGTTCAGTGGATCCTGGTGGCTGCAGAATAAACTCACAAGGCCAGTCAGAGATTTACTCTGAGCAGGAGAGAGTGGTATTAACCAAATTCAGAGATTGCCTTAGTCGACTCATCTCTTACGCAGAGTTAAAAGGTACAATTTTTCTTGGGTTTCACACACGATTCATCAAGAAGCTATCTTCTCAAAAGTTCGTTAAGTTTGTTGATTTGCAGAATCAAAGTGTTCATCTTTGGCAAGAATGCACATACAGCCACCCGCCGCAACCGTGACTGTGAAAACCGAGAATGGTATTCAACAGCAGGTACCAGTCGTGAATGGAGCTTCTCGAACCACCACTCAACCTACACTCAGTAAACCCCTGATGACTACAGCAAACACCTCAACCACTCATCATCTTCATAAACCTCCAGCTTTATCAGAGAAGAAAGACCACTGAATCAATAAAGATATACTTTATTTAGGACACAAATAACTTACTAGAGAGGACACAAACAACAAGCTGAAATCCGCTTCATCACCTGCCTTATTTCATGAGGTAATGCCACTACAAGTTTTCTTCCTCATTCATTTATAAAAAAGGCGGTTGCTCGGGTTCAGCGCAGTAGCAGGTGACTAGAGATAGTAGATAGACACAATTTTTTATTGTGTCATTAAGCTTTCTTCTCGCTTTTCTCTTTCTTTTCTTGTAAAGAACATCCTCTCTTTAATGCCTCTGGCTAGTGTAGATTTTTCGAGAGCTTTGTTTCTTTACTACACTTGTTAGTATTTTGTGTTCAACCATAACATTCTTGTTTGTGATGTCTGATTCTTTCCTCAGCTTTCAAGACCAAAGCTAATGTTTTAGCATTCAAACTTAACAAGTCCCTAAATTTTATAAAACAATCTCTACAAATTTTCTTTCTGACTAGAACAAATATAAATAAGTTTATCCGCTCTTGGTAAATTCTACCATTTTCTTATATTATTTCATTAGATACCAATGTATATGAGAGTGAATTCACTACGAACATGTATTAAGAACATCAAAATTGTTTTTTTCTAGTGTTGACAAACACCTTGATAACAAATTATCTTTGAAACAACAAAAGAGGCTGATTTATTCTCATTTAGTGACTACCTTAAGCCTCTCCTTCTGCATGAACTTGTACAAACGCATCTTTTGCTGATCACGTTTAGCATCCCTTTTGTGCATTCACAATCGTGACCTCGATGATTTCGGTTCACTCTGCAGCCACAAAATGGAGATTTCACCGTGAATACGATGCAGAAGACGAAAAATGAATAAACTGACTAGTACTGGATTCATAACCTCGGAAACATTTGCTTCATAGATCCAAGTAGGCTATAACTATACTACATTACCAAACATGGTGTCTAAATCTTCTGTTCTAGTCAAACCACAAACATAATTCTAAATGGGTCATGCTAAAGTTGAACCCAATCGCATGGTCCCAACATAATTTTTATATATTTATATCTGCTTGGGGATTGAATCTATGTGATCATTCACCTTACAATGTTATTCTCATATCGTTTATCAACTGTCGACTTGGTTGGGACTATGTTCTCTTGCCACATTATAAAATGTAAAAAAGAAAGTTGAGAGTTTACCAAAAGCATTCCGTTCATTGCCCTTTCCTCCAAATACCTGGACGGTTTGAAAAAGCCGCCATAAGTCTCTGACAACTTCTTGAGCCTTTCATATATGTACCTTGGTCCCACAGTGTCTGCCCAGAATATAATTCCTCCACTGCAACAGGATAAAAAATGCTCAAGTAAAATGTCTAGAAGAGAGTCGACGAAATGAAAATTTAAATATATTGTTGTGCAGTAAATATAAATAGATTGGAGCAGAATCAAGAGATATTCAGAAACCTTTAGCTTTATGGAGATTAGTACTTAGAATTCTCACCGGTAAGAAGGAAAACTCATTCCAAGAACAGACGCAATGTCCAGGTCTGAGGCGCGGATCACAATTCCTTCATCCAGGATACGGCACGCCTCGTTAACCACAGGAAATAAAATCATTTCTACAATCTCTTTGTCAGTTACTGATATAGGCTGCAAGAGAAGAATAGACCGTCGTAAATTCAAAAGAAAACCAAATAGTAGCATTAAAGATATACTTCTTATCACCGTCTTTTTTTTACCTTTCCACCGGGCATGATATTGGTAAGTTTCCTCGATTCCTCAAGAATTGGAAGCACTGCTGGATCGGGTTTTGGTTTGCTTCCCTTTTCGTAAATATAGTATCCCCTCCCGTTGATTTTTCCTGGATCCGTAAATGTTAAAAGCGGGCAGATGGGGAATTCACAAAGACAAGAGCAACGACATACCATTTCGCCCACTCTTAAGTAGAAGCTCAGTTAATGGAGATTTGAACATGCGGTCACCGTACACCGTCTGATATATTGGCCCAGCTGCCAACCCAATCCCGTGTCCAGCCAAATCACCAAGCCTGAGAAGTGAGTCATCCCAAATAGTTAAAGCTTTCTTCAGTTGCTGAGATAGTCATACAGTAACACACACAAAGTGTAGGTCAACAGAACAAGGAGGGAGAGATTTACTGGAAAGGACCCAACGGCAAACCAAAAGAGGTAATAGCATTGTCGACTCTGAACAAGTCAACACCTAGATTGACCAACATATGTGCACTTTGTCCATACGGCAAGAAGGTTCTGTTCACTGCAAAGCCTATGCAGTTTCCAACCACCACGGGAACTTTCTTTATGGCCTTTCCAAGTGCCATGAGATCAAGAATCACCTGAGCACAAGTATTTTCTGAACGAACAATCTCGAGAAGGGTCATCAGATGGGCCGGGCTGTTGAATTATGATCCAAATCAAGCGTCAGGAAAACATAACATTTGCGTATTCTATAAAAATCTTCGTGACATTGAAAATGCAGAATGACCTGAAGAAATGTGCGCCAACAATGCGATCTTTTGAGTTCGTCTTTTCCCCAATTACGTCGATGTCGATAGTGGATGTATTGCTTGCCAAAATGCAATGTGGTGGACAGACCTTTTCGATTTCTTTGAATATGTTTTGTTTCAACTGAATGTTTTCAATCACTGCCTGAAAATTGATACCAGGAGCATAACCTTATAGTCAGAAG